CCGACACTTGGGCGAACACACGCCCGGATGGTCATCGACAATTACTTCCTTCCCCGCCTCGGTCCTCATCAGCGACCGAAGCGCGGGGCCCTGGGGCGGGTTCGGAAACGCCGACCGAACTCCCGAAAGCAATTTTGACGTTGCCAGATTTCTGGGAACCGTTGTGTGGGGCCAGACCAGAGATACCTGGAAGAGGGTCGAGAAGCGTTTGGATCGATATATCTTGGCTTGGGGGTTTCGGGGGGGGTCCGCCTGACCCGAGACGGCCCGACCCGACCCGACCTGACCTGGATTGTGACCTGACCTGACCCAACCTTCCTACTATTCATCATCATCATCATCATCATCATCATCATCATCATCCTCCTCCTCCTCCTCATGCATCCTCCTCCTTTTCCTCCTCCTCCTCCCCCTCTTGCTCATGCATCCTCCTCCTCCTCCTCCTCCTCCTCCTCCTCCTCCTCCTCCTCCTCCTCCTCCTCCTCCCTCCTCCTCCTCCTCATCATCATCATCCTCCTCCCGTTTTCAAAACGTGGCTCTCGCCTTAGCACCGGGCGCAGCCGTGTAAAAGTTGCAACAAATTCACGGATGAAGGGCGGGCCATTTTCAAAATGTAGCTCTGGCCCTAGCGCCGCGCATCTTCGCCGCAAAAGTTCGCGAGAGTCTCAACAATGGAGGACGGCTCCGTTTCAAATCGTGGCCATCGTCTCAGCGCGGCGCACATTCGTTCAGAAAGTCCAAGGAATTGTGCTCTGGTGCAACCTAAGATTGCTCGGACGCAACAGTCACGTTGATCCACGGTGTTGAAGTCACCAGGAATGGCGTATGGCACGAGTTAAGACAGTCAAGACGCAACACACACGTTGATTCGTTGCGAGGAACGGTATTCTTGACACAGTTGGATATTCTCAACCAGATGTCTTCTAATGGGCCACCACTTCCCGCAATGAAAACAAGGAGTTCGGAGGGAGGGTTGATGACAACATTGTTGACGAACTTTGGGTCTACATAGGTCCTCCTCTCCCCGAAGCAGACCCAATGCAGGCCTGGGCGGTTTGGCCTTTTTAAAAACAAGCGCGCAATGGTGGTTTCGTGGCTATTCCGAAGGATTCCAATTGTGACGCTTTCCAATCGAATCCCGTGTGGCGCTTTCCAAAGGATTCCTGTTGTGAGGCTTTCCCATAGAATCCCTTTGTGGTGCTTTCCACAGGATTTCTTCTGTGAGGCTTTCCTATAAAATCCCGTCGTGGCGCTTCCCAAAGGATTCCGATTGTGAGGCTTTCCAATCGAATCCCCCCGTGTGCTTTCCACAGGATTCCTGCTGTGAGGCTTTCCAACAGAATCCCTTTGTGGCGCTTTCCAAATGATTCCTGTTGCGAGGCTTTCCAATAGAATCCCTGTGGTGCGTTGCACCGGATTCCTGCTGTGAGGCTTTCCAACGGAATCCCTGTTGGGGCGCTTTCCTGAGGATTCCGAAAATGATGCTTTCCAATGGAATCCCTTTGCGGCGCTTTCCAAAGGATTCCGGCTGTGAGGCTTTCCACTAGAATACCTTTGTGGCGCTTTCCAAAGGATTCCTGCTGTGAAGTTTTCCCATGGAATCCCTTTGTCGTGCTTTCCACAAGATTCCTGCTGCGAGGCTTTCCAACGGAATCCATGTGTGGTGCTTTCCAAAGGATTCCTGCTGTGAAGCGTTCCACTAGAATCCCATTGTGGCGCTTTCCAAAGGATTCCTGTTTTGAGGCTTTTCCAGAGGATTCCTGCTGTGAGGCTTTCCTATAAAATCCCGTTGTGGCGCTTTCCAAAGGATTCCTGTTGTGAGGTTTTCCCATAGAATCTCTGTGTGGTGTTTTCCAAATGATTCCTGCTGTGAGGCCTTCCAATAGAAAAACCTTCGTGGCGTTTTCCAAAGGATTCCTGCTGCGAGGCATTCCCATACAATCCCTTCGTTGCGCTTTCCACAGGATTCCTGCTGTGAGGCTTTCCAATAGAATTCCTTTGTGGCGCTTTCCAAAGGATTCCTGCTGTGAGGCTTTCCAATCGAGTCCTTGTGTGGCGCTTTCCAAAGGATTCCTGCTGTGAGGCTTTCCAACGGAATCCGATGTGCTTGTGAGCTTTCCAAAGGATTCCGATTGTGAGGCTTTCCATGGAATCCCTTCGTGGCGCTTTCCAAAGGAAGCCGATTGTGATGCTTTCCCATGGAATCCACTTGTGGTGCTCTCCAAAGGACTCTGATTGTGAGGCTTTCCAATAGAATCCATTCGTGGCGCTTTCCAGAGGATTCCTGCTGTGAGGCTCTCCAATAGAATCCGTTTGTTGTGCTTTCCACCGGATTCCTCTTGTGAGGCTTTCCGATAGAATTCCTGTGTGGCGCTTTCCAAAGGATTCCGATTGTGAGGCTTTCCCATGGAATCCCTTTGTGGGGCTTTCCAAGAGATTCCGATTACGAGGCTTTCCCATAGAATCCCTGCTTTCCAATAGAATCACTGTGTGGTGCTTTCCAGAGGATTCCTGCTATGAGGCTTTCCAATCGAATCCCTTTTGTGGCGCTTTCCAACGGATTTCTGCTGTGAGGCTTTCCAAAACAATCCCCTCGTTGCGCTTTCCACAGATTTCCTGCTGTTAGGCTATCCAATAGGATCCCTTTGTGGTGCTTTCCAAAGGATATCCCGTTGTGGCGCTTTCCACCAGATTCCTGTTGTGAGGCGTTCCCATAGAATCCCTTTGTGATGCTTTCCAAAGGATTCCTGCTGTGAGGCTTTCTCATAGAATCCCTTTGTGGCGCTTTCCAAAGGATTCCTGTTGTGAGGCTTTCCCATAGACTCCCTTCGTGGTGCTTCCCAAAGGATTCCGATTGTGAGGCTTTCCCATGGAATCTCGTTGTGGCGCTTTCCAAAGGATTCCGATTGTGAGGCTGTCCAAAAAAAAACACGTGGTCGACCACCAGATTCGAGTCGAAAATTCGATTTGTTTGTGTTTTTTTTGTTTGGGGTTTTTTTGTGGTTTTTGGCTTTCTGATCAGTTTTCGGTTTCGCTCGGCCTCCACAGAAGGATGACGATCGAAAACGCGCAAACCGCCCAGGCCCGCATCGGGCCTGGCGCCCCTCCTCCTGCCACCTCCTGCCACCTGCTGCACCCTCCCCCTTTTCATGCCACCTCCACCTCCACCTCCTCCTCCTCCTCCTCCGCCTCCTCCTCCTCCTCCTCCTCCT